TATAACACCACTTCACGTTAAATGGATGACAGTTCACTTTGATGTTTTTTCAGAGTTCTTCGGCATTTGAAGCACGACAATATCCTGGGAATAAGTAGTGGAGTTTGGGAAAATATGCATATGTGTTGTTGACAATATGGAAATTCTGCAAGGAAAATTCTCAGTGGTTTCTGTTTTTTTCTACTCAAAATTTTATATACTATGATTAACTTTGGAAAGCAAAAATATATTCCTCCAACACTGGAGTTTCACGACTACCCGTTTTACGCGGAGTGGCGTCGTAAAACTCCATGAAAAACGCGATTTTATTCGCAGTGATATGCAGTAGTCGTGAAATATGTTTTTCATATCACTAGGGTGGTAAAACTCCAACGTTGAAGTTAAAATTAGTATTATAACAGTTTTCCCGCAGATTCAATTATGACTTTTGGTGGAGTCCACGATTTCACCCACGTCTGCATCGTAACCGATTTGTTCGAAACAGATCTTGGAGCGGTTCTGAAGAGCAATCAGAATCTCACATTGGTAGTTCTAGAAAATGTTGTTCCCTATGAAAATTTTCTCATAATTTTCGGTAAAATTTAACATTAATTTCCCAAAATTTCCTTCCTAAATTTTCATTCTATTACGAAAATTTACATATAATTTTGGGCAAAAATTAATATTAATTTCCCAAAATTTCTTTGGAGAAATTTTGCTCTCTTAGGAAAATTTTCTTATAATTTTGGGTAAAAATTAATATTAATTTCCCAAAATTTTCTTGAAGAATTTTCGCTCTATTATGAAAATTTACATATAATTTTGGGTAAAAATTAATATTAATTTCCCAAAATTTCCTTTCTAAATTTTCGCTCTATTATGAAAATTCTTACATTATGGTGAAAACCAATACAATTTTTTCGATTTTTTTTACGATTTTTATTACAATTTTACTTTTCGTTCAGGAGCAATGTATATTCTTCCTTTACCAAGTGCTACGTGGTGTTAAGTAATATATCAATGCTCGTGTAGGAGTAATGAGTATAAATATCAGGTATTTTCACTCAGCTGGAGTCGTCCATAGAGATTTGAAACCGAGAAATTTATTGGTGAATTTCAACTGCGACCTCAAAATATGCGATTTCGGGTAAAAATGGGAGAATTTTTCCGCATTATTATTTTTTTAGATTGTCGAAGTTGATACTAGCAGATCGGGAAGGGTTTGATATGATACCAATGACCGCCCGAAGCATGTGTAAGAAAGGGTGAATGCGATGCAGTTTAGAAGTGTGGTAAAATATGCACATGTGTTGGTGACAATATTAAGACTCTGTGGAGATTTTGTTAGTATCTGCACAGTACTCGCATATTCTTCCGATTTGTATATAAACTTCTATGTGGGGAAAGCAAACCTTTCTTTGCAGAACTAAAGACTAAGTATTTAGTTTATACTCATTTCATTGGAGTTTCACCAGTTTAGGTGACGTAATATTCGCGGTGATATGCAGTAGTCGTGGAATACATTTTTCACTAGTGTTTTTCATATCACGGCTGCTCGTGAAACTCCATTATATATTTGATTTTTTTCGTTGTGGCGTATACTGATACCATCACTAAGTGCGAATGCGTGTCTACTGTTTGATTTTTTAAGCAGAAATGAATTTGGTAATAAACTTGTTGTTATGCTACCGCAGCAGCGTTAATTTCCGCGGTGTTGGTTTTTTTTAATGATATTTTCTCTCCTATTCTTGTTGACCAACACAAGTGTGAAAAATGTGCAAAAAATTTTTTATGAATTTTTTTCGTGAGAAATTGATCAATAACATATGTAAGCAATACATTAGTGTTATGAAGGCCCACATTCAGAAGCTCTAGGTGATACGAAACAAACTCTTTAGATTTCGTGCAGTTGCTGATTCCGTAGTTGTGTTCAATTGCTTGTCTAGGCACCAGATGGTACCGCTCGCCGGAGATTTTATGTGATTGTAAAAATTATGGAAAAGCAGCTGATATTTGGAGCATTGGGTGTATTTTTGCGGAGATTCTCACGAAAAAGTAAAACTCGGTAATTTTGCTGTATTATTGGAGTTTCACCACCCTAGTGATATGAAAAACATATTTCACGACTACTGCATATCACCGCGAATAACATCGCGTTTTTCACCGAGTTTTACGACGCCACT